AACAGATCAAACCTTGAAGAATCCCTACAGTTCCCCAATTGGAGGCAAAAGAAGAGCCAATAATAAAATAACAAAAAGACATAAGAACAAGATAATTTAAAAATTGTGCTGGGTCTTGGAAGCCCTAAAGTCAGAGTCATTCATTCGGAGAAGTCAAGAGTATAGATTGAGAAACCAGTGATGGTTTTGGTAATGTTTGATAGAGCTCTTTTAGGGAAGTAGCATGGATGGCAACCATTGTTGGGGATAGAGGAGTAATGTGTTGTGAGGAAGAAGAGGAAACCAAAGCTGTGAGAAAACTGGTGCTCAAAGCAGAAACTGAAGGGAGGGAGTCAACAGAGACGAAGGGCTGAAGAGGTAGGTAAAATGGGGAAGCAAACTCTGAAAAGAGTGTGCTACAAGAATATTACATGGAGGCATGGAGAGATTAGCCATAGAAAAAAGAGAAAAATCCTCCTCAAAGTTAAGTGGAAGGAAGGGAGGAAAAACAGAAAAATGTTAAGTGACAGAGAGGGAGATGATATTGTACAGTTTCCACTTTTTAAATTTATACTTTAACTTCTGGGGTACATATGCAGATCCTGCAGGTTTGTTACATAGGTATACACATGCCATGGTGTTTTGCTGCATCCATCTCCCCATCATCTACATTGGGTATTTCTCCTAATGTTATCCCTCCCCTATACCCCCACCCCCTGCTATCCCTCCCCTAGCCCCCTGGACCCCGACAGGCCCTGTGTATGACGTTCCCTTCCCTGTGTCCATGTGTTCTCATTGTTCAATACCCACTTACGAGTGAGAACATGTGGTGTTTGGTTTTCTGTTCTTGTGTCAGTTTGCAGAGAATGATGGTTTCCAGCTTTTGAGTAACAATGGAAATGACATCATGTGTTCTGAGAGAACCAAGATGAATGGCTCATGGCACAGGGACTAAAGTTTTGGTCTCCTAACACAACTTACAGCATATCATGAACATTCTTTACTTAGATTCCCCAACTAAATGGAAGAGGTAGTAATAGAAGTTGCTGGTTACTCCTTTGTGTAATGCATTTTGTCACAGGAGGATGATCCAAGGGCAAAAGGCATAGAGAATGGAGTCTCTCCCAAGGGCTGAATATCTGTTGCATAGTAGTCTGGTTCCTCTAAAAGTGCCAGTCCCCCACAAGACACCATTCTGTTATTTAATGGTGTTTACAGGACTATGTGCAATCCCTTTGGTGTAAAATCTCATTTGACATAGTTCATAAAAGTAGAAAACAACTGGACACAGAAAGGGGAGTACTAAACACTGGGGTCTATTGGGGGGAAAAGGGGAGGGCCAGTGGGAGGGGGAGGTGGGGAGGGATAGCCTGGGGAGAAATGCCAAATGTGGGTGAAGGGGAGAAGGAAAGAAAAGCACACTGCCATGTGTGTTCCTGCGCAACTGTCTTACATGCTCTGCTCATGTACCCCAAAACCTAAAATCCAATAAAAAATTAAAAAAAAGAAAATATCTTGAGAAGAGACTGAGAGATAGGCAGAGAGTGTAAGGATGACTTGGTGGTAACTACTTAGAAAACTGGTAAAAGGTAGGAAGAAGGGATTGAAACCAAGTCAACAGTTAACACCAAAACGGAAATTTAGCAAAATAAGTAAATAAATAACTGTTTACTTCCCAGCACAGCCCTCAGGAAGATTTATTAATGATAATACACACTGCATATCAATTTAACAAAAAAAAAAAGAAAACAACTGGCTGTATTCTTATGGCTTCATATAAGTTAAGTTATAGCATCTCATATTGAGTTTATTGAGTTTTAATATAGCAAAAATTGATTTCGTTTAATGATATGCTGTTATGATTATGGAATACTTAGCCAAAGGCTTTCCAGTGCATTCAGAAAATCTCATTGATTCCATCATTTCTAAAACCTACTCATTAATGTATGGACTCTTTCATGATTACTACGAGCTGGGCTTATGGAAAGGAATAAGGCAAGAAGTTTGATTCTCTTAATTACTCAGGCCTAAAATAAATACAGCTATAAATATGCCAATACATATGTTATATTATAAGGATATTCTAGTATGTGTGCTTAGGAGGTGACACATAACAGATACTCTTTAAAAGGCTCTTACCTAGAAAAAATGCAGATTGTCATTTCTTAGACTAGGAAATGTTACATTGGAGAATTAAAATGAGCATGCCCTAATATATAGTATCACAGAAGCAATGTAATTTAGGTTTAGCAGGTGATACAGTTTGGCTCTCTGTCCCCCACCCAAATCTCATCTTGAATTGTAATCCAAATTGTAATCCTTAGGTGTTAAAGGAGGGACCATTGTGGGGTGAGAGGTGATTGGATCATGAGGTGATTTCCCCATAGTATTCTTGTGATAGTTAATAAATTCTCATGAGATCTGTTCTTCTGACAAGTGTGGGGCTCCTCCCCCTTGGTATTCTCTGTTTCACCTGCCACCATGTAAGATGTGCCTAATTCCCCTTCTGCCATGATTGTAAGTTTCCTGAGGCCTCCCCAGCCATGCAGCATTGTGAGTCAATGAAACCTCTCTTGCTTGTAAATTACACAATCTTGGGTAGCATCTTTATAGCAATATGTAAGCAGATTGACACAAGTAGGAAATTTAGGAATAATTTTATCCAATCACTTTTATTTTAAGGTTGATGGATCTGAAGCCCAGGGAGATGAAATGGCTTACTGAAGGGCACAAACTGGTTAGGCCACAAATCTCTTAACTCAAAGTCCCAAGTGCATTCCACTGACAAATTCCTTTTTTTCTTTTTTCTTTCAAATTTTAGATTGAAGAGGTACACGTGCAGGTTTGTTACATGACTATATTGCATGATGCTGAGGTTTGGGCTTCTATTAAACCTGTCACCTAAATCATGATTATAGAACTCAATAGGTAGTTTTTCAACACTTGCCACACTCCCCTTCTCCCTACTTTTGGAGTCTCCAGTATCTATTGTATTCAGCTTCATGTCCACTGACAAATTTCTACCCAGCTTCTGGAAAACTATTCTCAAAGCCAAAATAGCAACTGTGTTGTACACAATAGGCACTTGATAAGTGTATTTTAATTGAACAACTTTATCTCTATTTTAATCACTCACACTCCTAGGAGTTAGAAAACTACCCTCAGTATGCAGTTTGTCCAGTACCTAATAAGGCTCTATAAGGCAAAACTACTTTAGAGAAATGTAATTTAGGACTTACTATGTATTGTCATATTGATTAATTCATATGATTTATAATGAGTAAGGGGGTATTAGCTCCTTACTACAGCGATAAAATTAGTCTCAACAAATTTACATAATTTATTGAAGGTCAAGAAGTCAGAAAATTGTTGAGTTTATGCCCAACCTCGATCCTCTGACTCTAGATGTCAAACTTTCTCTGATATACCTTATGGCCTTTCCAGGATATTTACAACCTCTAGGAAAAGAAAAACCAAATCTGTGAGGGAAGAGGAAGTGGGAAAGACAGAGGAAGAGAAAGAGAAGCTATGAGAACTAGTGTGAGACTCTTACAAAGAAAATTGGTGCCATAAAAAGAGAGAGCAGAGTGCAGATAATAGATGAATGATTTGTATTTAACTTTGGAAAGGTCTTTTGCTAGATACAAGCTACAAAGAACTGGGTTGGCACCAAAGAGATTAAAAGCAGTGGTGTACAACTCGGAAATAGGTATTGACTTCTAAGTGCACTTGAACGGTGGTGGAGTGGGAAAAGCATTGGTATGGGAATCAGGATACATGGATCTTAGTCTCAGTTCTGCCATTACCTTATTATTCCCTTATACGTGGTACTTCTCCCTTTTCTGTCTCTGTTTTTTTTTCCCAGTTGTAAAATGAAATGTATTCAACTTCATGATCCTTAAATATTTTCCTTCCTTTGTATTATTCTCATTGGTAGATGCTGGTAATAATTTGGGAAATGCCTGAAGTGAGACTCTGTAATATGACAATGTAACCCACAGTCTTTCTTGCAAAAAAAAAAAATCTAGTTGCTTTTTTTTCAACTGGTAAACTTTTTACACACATTCTTAACTAACCCATATACTTACACATGTCATAGTTGATTAGGCTATTAAATTGAGTCATGAAATTACTCTCCCAGAATACTTTAGAACGGATTGATCCCCTTACACATTGGGCATGTCTGATGGAAGTTACATCAGTAACAGAAAAATTATAATCGATTTATAGTATATGAACCATAACTAATGATTAACCACCAATCTTGGATTAGTAGGCTTTTTCTGTTGTAGCTATCAATAGACTCAAGGGAACTGTTTATTTTACCATTTCTCCCAAAGACTTTTAGCTCAGAGATTTTTAACTGAAGTTGAAAGTTCTTGGGGTACAGTAAGAGTGGAAAAATTTCAAAGATCATTTTGCCAAGATCAAGTGACGTTATTTTACTGTGCAAATGGAGACCAAAGCTATCAACTAAATAATCAACCACTAGGGCATGATTAGACGTTTCATCACAGATAATTTTTTTTCACCTGTATATTGTTTTGGGGCATTGGTGAATATAAAGACATTAATTGTAGTATTTTGACCAATAACTGGAGTTTCAGCTTAGTATTCATGGTACATGGAAGGATTTCAAGGGGCTATGAACACTCAGAAATAACAGAAAAATTTGAGGCATATATGAATTTGTGGATATATAGGTTTCATCTGGTTCTCAAAAGAATCACAAAAGGTGACACCAAAGAATAAAGAACCTCTACTTTACATATCCTGTAATAATGGGTTACAGTTCAGATATTTCTTCGGTAAAACTGGTAGCTAATTTTGATGTGTTGCCTACAGTTAGTAATAAGCCTTTAACTACATGAGGGTTAGTAATAGACCTCCATAAGTATATGACACCCCCTTTATATATACATATGTATATTCTTGCTTCTCTCCCCTTTGCCCACTTCCAAAAGATGAAAATGAAAAAAAAAAACCAACAACATTGAAACATGCAACATAAAGCCATTTACCGGAGTCCATAGAGAACTGTTCCATCAGGGTGCAGTCGAATCATTCGATTTTTCACTGTGACCCCATGCACGAATGATTTCTTGTCATTCAGAAAGTAGGTGTCTGGTACCCAGAGTTGGTCAGCTACCCTATTGTCTAGGGTGAGGTTTAGTGGGATTCCAGAATAAGAAAGTCTTTTGTCTTTCCAAGACTGCTGGAAATACATGGTGAGTGTATAATCCTGTGAAATAAAGAAAGCCAAAAAAAAAAGAGTTTTACTATTATTATCATCTAAGGTTTGATAACAAATGGAATGTCCTGTAAGAGATTACATTTGAATATATTAAAATTTGCACCTGCAGGTATAAGGTAACCAATAGGTTAAAGTACTAGGGGTCTGGCACAGTGGATCATGTCTGTAATACCAGCACTTTGGGAGACCAAGGAGGGGGACTCCCTTGAGCCAGGAGTTCAAGACCAGCATATGCAATGTAATAAGACCCCATCTGTACAAAAAATAATTTTTTAAAAGTTAGTTGGGTGTAGTGACACATGCCTGCAGCCCCAGCTACTTGGGAGGCTGATGTAGCAGGATCACTTGAGCCCAGGATACTGAAGCTGCAGTGAGCTAGGATTATGACACTGTATTCCAGCTTGGGTGACAGAGCAAGACCTTGTCTCTAAAAAAATTAATTAAATAACTAACTAACTAACTAACTAATAAGAGTACTAGAACTATACTTGAATGTATATATAAACATTTCCACCAATATAGAGCAAATAGATGTAATTGAATTTTAAAGTTTGAAGTTAAAGTAATGATGTCATGGGGAAGGTCATAAAAAGAAATTGTACAGAGGAATCTATGTCCATGAAAACTGACCTCTGAATATTATAATTCTATTCTGGAGAGGAATGCCTGATAAATAACTGAAACTGAATGCACTTGAAAGGAAAGGGTGTTTTTCAAACCACAAATTCTTTTTGAATAAATACTACTCTGTTTGACACATAAAGGTTATCAATTTGCCCTTATCTGGATTTTTCTTGAAGTACAACTCATCTATGAGTGAGTTCTGAAAAACAGTTATGAGGCACATACATATGGAGATGTTGACTTGGTCTGAAGACTGACCCCAGTGGTGGCAAGATTCAATACTTCTCTCTTAACACATTCCTGTTTGATTTCATGAAGTGGTTTGAATTCAAGAGTTGGGATTGATCTTGAAAGTTTGTTGCCTCACCTTGTGCAAAGTGTTACAGAGGACATCCCCCTGCACTCTCTCCTTCTACTTAGGTTTCCCCTAGCAATTAGAGACAGGAAGATTGGGCTCACTATAAATGGCTTGAGCTGCTGAAGAGAGATGGTAATAATAATCATAGTACTTTAGTTACTGTCTGTTTTTAAAAACTATTAATACAAAGTAAAATTGCCCAAGAAAGGAAAATAAATTGGCAGCTGTAAAATCATAAAGTCTTTGATACAAATCCCAACATAATAAAAACAGAAAGTTCACTTTTTCTAAGGCATTCATATGGCAATAGTGACTTTGTGAATGCCTTAGTGATTAGTAAGAGCACACTGTGTACCTCCTGCACGATGTCATGTACTGCCATTGTAATCTATTCTACTGTGGAGAAAGAATGATTTGACTCAGGTCTGACATCTGGCAAACTACACTTCATATAGACTTCCCAAAGGAATATTTATGTATTTCTGAAAAATCTTAAAATATAAAATGATATTTATTCTGGACAAGTAGTTCCGGGGTCTTTTAACCATATTGAAGAGCATTTATACTATTTACTCAGAAACCACCTTGCAATAATTTAAAGACATTGCTTCTTGTTCGATGGCAAGGATATTCACATTTTACTATTAGTCATACAGTATCCTTTTTAAAGATGTAAAACCTCCTTCAACCTTACCTTCATATATATAAAAAAATAAACCCCAGGCTACATACAGTCCTATTCTCAGTTACTACCATTCTCATTTGCATCTTCTTCCAGTTCTTAACATTGTGACTCTTTGGAGGAATATGAATTGGGCAGATTATGGGCTTAGATTGCAAAACTGCTTGATTTTAAGCTCTACCACATGTAAGCCTAATTATAACTGACTGACATAACCTCTTGTTCCTAAGATGCCTCTTTTTTTTTTTTTTTTTTTTTTTTTGAGAGACAGTTTCACTTGGCCATTCTGGCTGAAGTGCAGTGGCACCGTCCTAGCTCACAGCAGCCTCAGACTCCTGGGCTCAAAGAATCCTCCTATCTCTCAGCCTTTCAAGTACTTGGGACTACAGGCATATACCATCACAGCTGGCTAATTTTTTTTCTTTTCCTTTTTCTTTTTTTTTTAGACAAGGTCTTTCTGTATTCCTTAGGCTGGTCTTGAATTCCTGACCTCAACTGCTCCTCTGGCCTCAGCCACCCAAAACGCTGGGATTACAAGAGTGAGCCACGGCACCCGACTTGCCTCATTTCCAAAATGAAAAAAAATAGCATTTGGCCTGTTGTGAGCATCAGTTGAGAAAATTAAGGTTAAAGTACTTTAGAAACCATAACGTGCTAAGCAAATAAATTATCTTCAAAAATTTGAATTGCTATGTATGAATTAGTATTACACTTCCAAATACTTAGACTGTATATGCTCATTTTCATTAGCATTTCTAATTTTAAAGAGATGTTTATAGAGGAATCTGCGGGCAGATGGACTCTGTTGGCCATGTAAATAAACAATTGTCTGTGATGAATTCTAAGTCTTGGTGTTGGGTTCTTGTTTATAATTCAGACAGTATAGGAAAATTAAATATCAGCTACTGTCATATTGTCCATTTTGCCATGATCAACAGTGGAATACGTGTTTCAGCTCAAAGTGATTCCTCATTAGCATCCAGATTCTTGAGTGCCACACAAGATTCCTCACAGTTAAACCTGTGGCAAAAATCTTTGCTCCACAATTCTTTTCAATAAAGATTAAAAACATATGATCATAAAGTATAAGGGACTGTCTTGAAAACTGATAAGAGTAAATCTTACCACAAAAGAGAAGTATATGAGGTAATGCATTGGTTGATTAGCTGTATTTAGCCATTCCACAATGAATACATATTTGAAAACTCATGTTGCACACAATAAATATATACAATTTTAATTTCTCAACTTTAAAAAATGGCAAAATAATACTAACTGATAAATGCTATATTAATATGTAGTATTTACTATCGTTTACTTACTCCATGTGGTAGGAGGAAAACAGAAAGGAGAAAATAATGTAAATGAGGGTAATCCCTGCTTAGATTTGTGTGTGTGCATGCATGTAGACTTTTCCCTTTTTCTTTGGAAACTGTTTTGTTTCCTGCAGAGAAAGAGCTATATGCCATGTGGTGAAACCTTTGCTATACAACTCATTCTGTTTTCAATAAACATTGAATGAAAATTATAGCATGGTTATAAATTCAGGCAATAATGTATCCAATTTGCAATAGAAGTTATCCAGTGAAAATATACATATGCTTGTATATTACAGCTGGGAATAGGTGAGGTGGAGCAAGTACCCTTCACACTTGGTCTTTTATTGCATTTCTAGGGTGAGTAGCCCAATCTAGGACCTGATTCTATGATAAATAAAAATACAGACATATGATATTGATAACCTTACTAAAATCTTTTTGAAGAAAATAATGGTGATAATGATGAACATTGTGGAAGGATCTAAAATACACCAATATCTCATTTCTCTACCATTTATGTAAAACCACATGCATGACAATAATTGCCTTTTCCTGTGGCATGCTCTGTGCTCATGGTTCTCATAACCCATTCATATCTATTATAACATTTTTTTCTCACAGCAACCTTGTGAGATGGAAAAATTTTCTATGAAAGTATTTATTATTTACAAGTTAGAGAAACTACTTATAATATAAATAATTTTTTTATCCATCTCTTAATTGAAAGGTTAACGGTGACATCTGAATATAATAAAGCCTATGACTTCGTTTTGGTGGATACTATTTTTTGATAGAAAAGAAAACCTTTTGTGTTGTATTTTTGTTCTCCTACACAACAAGTTTTCTATTAATTCTTCATTAGTCCAAATTGAAAGCACTCTAAAGAAGATAGAACATTTTTCAGAAAGAAATTAATGCTCTTTGGCCAACAGCATTAAAATTATTTTTCTTCTAGGTGTGTTTACAGGTGTTCCATCAACTTTCTTAAGTGTTCAAGCTATTTCTTGAAAGAAAGTGTGACATATTTAGAAACTATGGGCCATAGGGAATTCCTTGACACTGAAGTAAGTTAGCATGATTAATGGATATGAACTTGCTAATAAAATTAGTCGGGCTGATTCAGGCATGACAGAATTTGATTCATTGAGGAAAGACAAGATAGACAATACCAAATCAGAAGGCTCAATGAAACTCCAGAACAACAACTTTAAACATTTTATTTTCATTTTTTAAGATGGAATCTCACTCTGTTGCCCAGGCTGGAGTGCAGTGGTGTGATCTCGGTTCATTGCAACCTCCACCTCCCAGGTTCAAGCAATTCTCCTGCCTCAGCCTCTCACATAGCTGACATTACAGGTGTTCACCACCATACCTGGCTAATTTTTGTGTTTTAGTAGAGATGGGTTTTCACCATGTTGGCCAGGCTGGTTTCAAACTCCTGACCTCAGGTGATCCACCTGCCTCAGCCTCCCAAAGTGCTGAGATTACAGGTGTGAGCCACTGTGTTCAGCCCCAAAACAACATATTTTTTTAAATCTAGAGATGATTAAAGGTACAGTGTAAGAAAATAATTATGTTTTTTAAAAGTAATTCTTTTGGAGAATCAAGGTAACATTATTCCTAGATTTGTACTTTTAAGCTCAGGCTGATTTTTGCTAAATTTCTCCTGGTACATTTAGCAGTGTCGGAAGGCAGTTTTGATTGTGACCCGTGAGATTAGTGATGGTGTGCTACTAGCATCTGTGGGTAGAGGCCAGGGATGCTCCTTTATCTGCTACACTGTGCAGCACAGGCCCCCACAACAAAGAATTGTCTGGTTCAAAATGTCAATAGTGGCAAGGTTGAGAAACCCTGCCTTACATGAAAATTTATCTTTTAAGTATGAGCAAAAGATTTCAAAATATTTACCATTGTTTATCATGAAAAATATGTATAGTAACATGCTTATCTGGAGATTTTAATGTATCTCTCAAAACTTTATGCTAGTGAACGCTGACATAAGATG